TTACTTTTTATTCTTTATTATTATTAATATAATAATATTATATATTATTATTCTTTATTAATATGGTTTGTAACGACTCACAGCTTACATCCTTTGTAGGTCATACTGTTTTTAGTCCTCAAACCATCTTTTCCTCATTTAATGATTTTAGCCTTAAATTCTGCTTTGATATTTACGTTGAAAATCCTGCTCCAATTTTGTTTACCTTTATTCAGTCATATTTTTACCCACCCATTTTCTACTAATGTGTTTAGTTACTTTGTTTTGATGTTGATATTATATTCATTCAACAAACACATATTGAGGGACCATGCCAGGTACTGTCTTAGTGCTCGCAGCCCTGCCTTCATGGACCTTGTGGGCTAGTGGGGGAGATGGATGATAAATAGTCTGTTTTATTAAACACACAAAGAAGTAACTGTAACATTTTAGATCTGCTCTAATACAGTAGCCGCTAGCTGCATGTGGTTATTTATTTCTTTATTTAAATTTATTTATTCATTTGTTTAATTTTTGGTTGCATCGGGTCTTCGCTGCTGCATGCAGGCTTTCTCTAGTTGCAGTGAGCGGGGGCTACTCTTTGTTGCGGGGCGCAGTCTTCTCATTGTGATGGCTTCTCTTGTTGCAGAGCACAGGCTCTAGGCGCACGGGCTTCAGTAGTTGTGGCACAGGGGCTTCAGTAGTTGTGGCTCGCGGGCTCTAGAGCACAGGCTCAGTAGTTGTGGCACGCAGGCTTAGCTGCTCCGCGGCATGTGGGATCTTCCCGGACCAGGGGTCGAACCCGTGTCCCCTGCATTGGCAGGCGGATTCTTAACCACTGTGCCACCAGGGAAGCCTCATGTGGTTATTTAAATTTAGAACTAGTTCCATATTTCTCAAAAAACTAAAAATAGAACTACCCTATGACCCAGCATTTTCACTCCTGGATATATATTTGAAAGAAACAAAAACACTAATTTGAAAAGGTAATGCACCTCAATGTTCATAGCAGCACTCTTCACAATAGCCAAGACATGGCAACAGCCTAAATGTCCATCAGCAGATGAATGGATAAAGGTGTGGTACATATATACAATGGAATACTACTCAGCCATAAAAAGAACCAGATTTTGCCATTTGCAGCAATGCAGATGGATTTGGAGGGCATTATGCTAAGTGAAGTAGAGATAGACAAATACTGTATGATATCACTTATATGTGGCATCTGAAAAATAAACTAGTGAATATAACAAAGAAGCAGACTCATAGAGAAGAAACTAGTGGTTATCAGCAGTAAGAGGGATGGAGGAGAGGCAAGATAGGGGTAAGGGATTAAGAGGTACAAGCTAATTTGTATAAAATAAGCTACAAGGATATCTTGTACAACACAGGGAATATAGCCAGTGTTTTATAATAACTATATGTGGAGTATAACCTTTAAAAATGGTGAATCACTATATTGTACACTTGTAACTTATATAATATTGTACATCAATTATACTTCAGTAAAAAATAAACTAGTTCCTTAAAGTAAATTTTGTGTGTGTGTGGGTATACATATACATATATATATTTCTTCAGTTGCACCAGCCATACTTCAAGTGCTGGATAGTCACATGCGTGTGGTGGATACTGTGCTGAACAATGTAGACATGGAATGTTTCTGTTATCGCACGAAGGTTTATTGGCCATTGCAGCTTTGCGTGCTGTTATGGATGTGGGATGTTCTGAGCTACAGCGTAATGGGTCATGTGGGGCACCCGAAATGGTGACCTTTAAGAAGAATTCTGAATTACGAGACGGAGCCAGTTTTATGAGGGCATTACATATAGATATAGCTGTATGTAAGTATTTGGTATAAATTGAGAAATATTGTCACTATTAGTTTAAATAGTTTACAACTTAAAACTGTAGGAGTTTCAAGGAGGGTGTTTTCTCTTGTTCTGATAGGAATTGTTTCTCGTGAGAATGGGAAAAATATTTAATTAGCATGTCCTGATACATTTTTCTTTTAGTTGGATAAATCTGGTTGCCATTATCTAATTTTGTAGATTGAAAAAGTGCTTCAAGGTTTCTGAAGTATTTTGAGCTTGTCTTTGAACTGAGATAAATAAGTTTTTGCCTTGCATCCTTTAATTCATTAGTGAGTTTTTGATAATAGCATTTGTTTTACATTGTGAGAAAACTTAGAAGTTAATCCATCTGACCTTCTAAACTGCACACATTTAAGCAATTCAAAACTGAAGTGTAATTGACTTGACTGTGGTCCCGTATCTGGTCAGTGACAGAGCTGTGACTGGAAGCTTTTCCTTGTAACTTTTGGGCCAGTGTCCTGCCAAATCTTTTTCAAAACCATTACTTTTAAAACATAATCTTCTTACTCAGAGGCAGAATGCTAATCATAGAAATGCCTAGGACTTCTTTAATCTGTTTATGTTTAGAGATTTAAATGGCTAATCCAAGAAGCATTGAAAGCCATAAGAATTATCTCTGTATGATAGAGTTCTGACAACATGAACACTTACCTGTGGTACTTCTCTGAGTGTGATTTGTTTCCCTCCACGGGTTTTGCACAGTTTATTTTACGAATATGAAAAGTAGAGGCTCTCTGGATGAGGAACATGCAATGCAGGCATTACTAAGTAAGAGTACAGTTATAATCAACTCAACCATTTTTTTCCAATTAAAAAAGTCTTATCAAAACTAATTTTCTCCATGAAGTGAACTTTTCCAAATCACCTGAAGTGATATTTAATAATTATATTTCATTATAAAACTACTTTTATAATTTAATACTTCATTTTCTGCTGGGTAATGAAACAAACACCTCGCTGAAAGTATTTTTACAATATTTGTTAGACTTGTAAAAATTTCTTTTAAAGTGACTATATATGCTTCACTATCCTGATATTAATTACTGACTACTTGCGTATAAAATCATTGGTCTACTAATAAGTAGAGCAGAAATCTTGAGAAAGAAAGACGGAGCTGGAGGAATCAGGCTCCCAGACTTCAGACTATACTACAGAGCTACAGTAATCAAGACAGTATGGTACTGGCACAAAAACAGAAATATAGATCAATGGAACAGGATAGAAAGCCCAGAGATAAACCCTCGGACATATGGTCACCTTATCTTTGATAAAAGAGGCAAGAGTATACAATGGAGAAAAGACAGCCTCTTCAATAAGTGGTGTGGGGAAAACTGGACAGTTACATGTAAAAGAATGGAATTAGAACACTTCCTAATACCATATACAAAAATAAACTCAAAATGGATTAAAGACCTAAATGTAAGGCCAGACACTATAAAACTTAGAGGAAAACATAGGCAGAACACTGTATGACATAAATCACAGCAAGATCCTTTTTGACCCACCTCCTAGAGAAATGGAAATAAAAATAAACAAATAGGACCTAATGAAACTTAAAAGCTTTTGCACAGCAAAGAAAACCGTAAACAAGATGAAAAGACAACCCTCAGACTGGGAGAAAATATTTGCAAATGAAACAACTGACAAAGGATTAATCTCCAAAATATACAAGCAGCTCATGCAGCTCAATATCAAAAAAAAACCCCCAAATGGGCAGAAGACCTAATTAGACACTTCTCCAGAGAAGATACACAGATTGCCAACAAACAAATGAAAAGATGCTCAGCATCACTAATCATTAAAGAAATGCGAATCAAAACTACAGTGAGATATCACCTCACACCAGTCAGAATGGCCATCATCAAAAAATCTGCAAACAATAAATGCTGGAGAGGGTGTGGAGAAAAGAGAAACTTCTTGCATCGTTGGTGGGGATGTAAATTGATACAGCCACTATGGAGAACGGTATAGAGGTTCCTTAAAAAACTAAAAATAGAACTACCATATGACCCAGCAATCCCACTACTGGGCATATACCCTGAGAAAACCATAATTCAAAAAGAGTCATGTGGGCTTCCCTGGTGGCGCAGTGGTTGAGAGTCTGCCTGCCGATGCAGGGGACATGGGTTTGTGCCCCGGTCAGGGAGGATCCCACATGCCGCGGAGCGGCTGGGCCCGTGAGCCATGGCTGCTGAGCCTGCGCGTCGGGAGCCTGTGCTCTGCAACGGGAGAGGCCGCAACAGTGAGAGGCCCGCATACTGCACAAAAAAAAAAAAAAAAAGAGTTGTACCACAATGTTCATTGCAGCACTATTTACAATAGCCAGGACATGGAAGCAACCTAAGTGTCCATTGACAGATGAATGGATAAAGAAGATGTGGCACATATATACAATGGAATATTACTCAGCCACAGAAAGAAATGAAATTGAGTTATTTGTAGTGAGGTGGATGGACCTAGAGTCTGTCATACAGAGTGAAGTAAGTCAGAAAGAGAAAAACGAATACCGTATGCTAACACATTTATATGGAATCTAAAAAAAAAATGGTTCTGATGAACCTAGGGGCAGGACAGGAATAAAGACACAGATGTAGAGAGTGGACTTGAGGACCCGGGGAGGGGGAAGGATAAGCTGGAACAAAGTAAGAGAGTAACATTGACATATATACACTACCAAATATAAAATAGATAGCTAGTGGGAAGCAGCGGCATAGCACAAGGAGGGTGGGAGGGAGATGCAAGAGGGAGGGCATATGGGGATATACGTATGTATATAGCCGATTCACTTTGTTATACAGCAGAAACTAACACAATATTGTAAAGCAATTATACTCCAGTAAAGATGTTAAAAAAAAAAACAAGCAGAGACTTTAAAAAATTTTTATTTTCCATTTCACTATTAAAGCACAACTTGTTCAGTTTTTGTCACCGTTACAGATGGTGCTACAGAGGGCATTGCGTTCAGGTCTCCCTGTGTACACAAGGGAACGTTTCTCTGGACCGTATACGTACAGGAATGTTTGCTCACCCTGTCTCATTCCACTTCTATCTCATGTTAATGCTTACAGTTGTGTAATGTGACTAACTGGGGTTGGTTTCCTTAGTCCTAACTCTCCACTTCAGAGCCCATTTTCTCTCTGTTTACAGAAGGGCCAAGGTAGCTCGGTTGATTGGTTTACTGGCCTCGCACACAACGGAGCTCCAGGAAAATACACCTGTCATTGAGGTAATTTCTTTCATTACTGAAATGTTACGAATGGCAAAGATTGTTCTTGATTTTAGAACATGCAGCTTTCATTGGTGTTAAGTGTGGAATTGTGGCAGTTGTTATAAAATAACCTCAGTAGGCCTGTACACTTCAGCACAGCCGCTCATTTACAGCACAGTCTGTCGTCAAAGGTGGTGCGGTGGAATTACAAGGCTTGTGGACTCTAGTCATCATTACTGCATTTCAGTAATTTATGGATAAGGTTTATTTCATTACTAGTTTTCATGTGGTCTACTCAACATTTTATTATAACTGAAGTATTTTCTACTGAAGCCCAGCTCAACTTCAAATTAAAATTTTTTGGGGTTTTTCACATTGAATTTAGTGTTTTTATCCCCACCAGTTGTCATTTATTTCTGACAATAGTGACAGTATTTAACTGCCAGGCATGCACTAAAGGTATTTTCAAATGTGGTCGGCACTGTGTATTCACGGGTTCTGAGTCTGTGGATTCAGTCAGCCGTGGATTGAAGATATTCAGGGGGAGAAAAGTTCTAGAAAGTTTCAGAAAGCAAAACTTGAATTTGCTGCACACTGGCAGGTATTTATATAAAATTTACATTGTACTAGGTAGTATAAATAATCTAGAGATGATTTAAAGTATGTGGGAGGATATGCATAGGTTATATGCAAATACTAGGCCATTTTATATAAGAGCATCTGTGGATTTTGGTATTTGTGGGGTTCCTGAAACCAGTTCCCCACAGATGCTGAGGGACAACTGAATCAGCCATTTCTTTCGAATACCAATATTGGGAAGCCCTTATTAATTAACCAGTAATTCCAAGTCCCACGAAGTGGATGCTACTATTGTACTGCCCTTTTTTTTTTTCTCGTGGTACGCGGGCCTCTCACCGTTGTGGCCTCTCCCATTGCGGAGCACAGGCTCTGGACGCGCAGGCTCAGCGGCCATGGCTCACGGGCCCAGCCGCTCCGCGGCATGTGGGATCTTCCTGGACCGGGGCACGAACCCGTGTCCTCTGCATCGGCAGACGGACTCTCAACCACTGCGCCACCAGGGAAGCCCTGTACTGCCTTTTTGAATGTTCCTGAACACTAAAAACTACTTTCTATCTATCCTGTTAATGTGTACTGCACTTAACTGGCAGTAGATTTTGAGAGTGTTGAGTCAAAATAGGTGAGAAAAACCAAGGCTTTTAAGGGGGAAGGGCAGAACTCCTGAAGGAAGGAGAAAATGGTAAAAAGAAGGGATTTTTATAGAGCCAGACCTGGTAGTGTGGTTTTTGGGAGAATTGTTTAGCCAAGTACTGTCTAATAGAACTATCTGTGGTGAAAGAAGCTGTCCTGTATCTGTGCTGTCCAGTACCGTAGCCAGTTGCTGGGATGGTATTCCAGCTAGTCCTGGGCTGTCTAAGTGGAAGCAAATGGGAGATTAATTTGTGCCCTGTGCATTTCCTCTGCTTATGATTCTGTCCCCATTCCCTGCAGTTATTAGACCTCTGAGCTACTAAAGAAAATGTTACTAAGTCTAAACTTTTCCTTCTTTTTGTGACCAAGAAAAATGAATTGTGACCTATATGATCACTGATGGTACCCAGCTTGGCTATCAGAGATCTATAAACTAGATTTTTATCTAAAAGACCAAGCAGATAGGGCAGTGACACTTAGGCAGAAGAGGAGAAGACTTAGAAGCTCAAGAGTGGAGGCTCCTTCTGATGACTCAGAGCAAAGGGTCTCCAATGAAACAGATTTGCTGGAGGAGATGGGAGAGAACTTGATGAAAATTCTAAGACGAAGTCCTGACATTCTAGAGGACATTCCTGGATAATCAAAATAGGAGGGAACAGTGTGCCATGAAGAAAGAGCCCCTGAAGGTGTAAAATATGACTGAATTAAAATATTCAGTAGATGCAGTAGTAAGTAGGAGGTACTGGGTACCTTAGAAGCCGAGTTAGTGAATTTGAAGATAAGTAGGATGTGAATTCTCTTAGGATTCAGAAGAACAAAAAAAAGGATAAAAATCATGAATTAAAAAGGCACGGAAGACAGTTGCAGAACATCTCTTACACTGTCCAGTATGGTAGCCATCAGCCAAAAGTGGCTACTAGGCACTTGAAAAGCAGCAAGTCTGAGTTGAGATGAGCTGCAAGTAGAGACCACACACCAGATTTTGAAGACTCAGTATGAAAAAAAAATAATGTAAAGTATCTCACCTGTAATTTTCTTTATAGATTACATTTTTATTTTAAATTTTTATTGGAGTATAGTTGATTTACAGTGTTGTGTTAGTTTCAGGTGTACAGCAAAGTGAATCAGTTATACAAATACATATATCCACTCTTTTTTAGATTACATTCTAAAACAGTATTTTTGGATATATTAGGATAAATATTTTAAAATTTTTACTTTTATTTTTTAATGTGGCTACTAGAAAATTTTAAATTGCCCGTGTGGCTTGAGTTCTATTTCTATGGGACAGCACTTATCTAAGATAAACACAATGGGATTTCCAGGAGGAGAGATCCAAGCAAACAGAAATGAAAAATAATGGGAGAAAATTTCACCCTGAGCTGAAGAAAGACTCACATCTTTAGATGAAAGGTTTTTCACCAAATGTCAGGCAAAACATTGAAAAAAAAGAATGCATATGTAGACCTATCCTGGTGAAATTTGTAATTTCAAAGATAAAAATAAAACTTGAAACCCAGGTTATAAGGAAATAAAAGCAAATTAGACTTAACATTTAATTTTTCTGTAACACTAAAGGCTAGAAGATAAAGAAAATGGTGGAAATGGATCGACACTTAGGAGGTCATGTGATGTTAAATTTCTCTGTTACGTCCATTGTACTGCCTACTTGTGGGGACAGAATACATTTTCAGAAACTCAATCTGAATTTCACCAACATTTCTAAAAAAAATTTACTTGAGCAAGCTACTTGAGGAGCTGCCAACTTCAACACCCACTTTCCCACCCAAGTTTTAAGATAATGTAAAGGAGAAACAAATAAAAACAATGAATCTATTTAAATGTAAGTCTAAATAATAGCTGCTACTGTTGTGAAATATCATCTGGAAAGAATGGATTCTTGAAAAAGAATATAAATATTCTTAAAAAATTAATAGTAGCATGGAAGTAAATTCTGCATTGTTTTAGAGGGTCTGAAAAGGTAGGGGAGAAGGGAATGGAGAAGGAAAAAGCAAGTTCTTTCTTGTTCTTTTACGAATTGAACACTTACGGAGTACCTCTTGTGGGTATGGCCTGTGTTACTTGCAGTAAGACCGTCGTTTCAGGCAAGTTCTTGTCTTGTTCTAGAAGGAATTCATAGATGCTGTTTTATTCTTGGCACTGATAATCCATTTCATTCTTGGCATTGA